TGTGGTCTGGTCTACGTGATGGCCTTTCCAGATGCCAAGGTCTTCAAGCTTGGTTTCTCGTCGTGGTCCAGTTTGAGCAGACGTCTACAATTCGCAGAAGGCATGGTGCAGACAGAGGGTCACCTGCAGGCGCTGCTGGCAGTGGAAGGGTCCGCCTGGTTGATCGAGCAGATCTGCCACGGCTTTCTACATGACCAGCACAGCATTCAGCACTTTTACTGGAGTGAAAGAAAGGAGCAGGCGAAGATGTACTCCGAGTGGTACGACTTGGCCATCTGTGATACACTCTTTCCTTTCATGGAGAGCTTGATCAGCATGTCATCAGAGCAGTTGGTGAAGTTGCAAAAGCGTACTGGGCAAATTGGATGGCGAAGGTCGAGAACCTGTCTCCAAATGCCTGCAAGACCATAACAACACTGCTTGCCAACAAGGACACCCGAGCTCACGACGGCACGTCCCTCGCTCGCAGAAAAGAGGACATCCCTGCTCACTCTCTGCACACTTTCTCCAGCTTCGAGGAATTTCAGGCAGCCGAAGCACTGCGATGTATGTGGTGCAGTGGACGAGTCTGAGTCCGGTCATGCAAAACTTCATGGGCCGGAGACTGACAGAGAGATATCCCGACCCAGGCTGGGATACGATTTTCCAGGCAGCTAGGGCCGCAAAGAGTGCTGCAGCTCCTCCTTTGGAAGGCACGCCAGCACAAAGATCCGGGCGCACTAGGTCCGAGATGGCTGCCGCAAAGAGGGCCGAGGTCCGTCGCAAGCCGTCGACACAGTACTGAGTACTGTCGTGTGTGTATGCATTCATATCTCACATATACATACTTTGCTATTTATATATATAGAACCTAGAAGTGTTTGCATGCATGTACTACTCCTACATATTTTCTCTGCGAAATTGCATACATTCACGCCTGAGTCGACTTGCAAATTTCACGTGTTCACTCTTCCCTGACAGAATGTGGTTGATGCTGCAGACAAAAACGGGGGTTGTGTGTCTTTTCAGCTGTGGTTTTGCACCGATGAAGCATGAAGCACGTGGCTCCACCGGGCACAGGGTTAAACTACCATCCTTGTCGGATCGCAAGGTCACAGTTGCGCAACAGCAGCCACCGCCACCGCCACCACCGCCACCGCCACCACCGCCACCACCGCCACCGCCACCACCACCACCACCACCAGCACAGACCCTACCCAACAATGGCCACAACAGTCGGGAGCTGAAGACGAAAGCGCGCTATCGGCTATCAGCGAGACCTCAGCCATATTCATTTTGCAGCAGCACTGGAGAGCTATCGAGCTCTTCTCAGGGCCAATTAAGGGCAGACCTCCAACACCGCTACTAAACAACAGACGTTCTGGCTTTGGGGGAGGGGATCAACGGCGCCAAACTCCACAACATACGTCTTCGGAAGCAGGAAGACTCCAGCAGCCTTTACCTCTCAAAGGATTCCTCAATTTCCAGCACTGTCAGTTCAGATGGATTGAACGGTCACGTGCCAACCTCATTCGGGCGCCCGAAAGCCGGCAAGTTCTTGCATCAAAGCAAGTGAAGAGATCAGAAAGAGACTGCGTCGTCACTGACATCACCTAAGGAACATCTTGTGCAGGTTTGACAGCCGATGCTTGTATTGCAGTTACTGTAGGTAGGAGAAAGGACTTGGCCAGCAGCCAAGACATTGTCATTTCCGAGGCACTTCGCAGATGACTCCGTGGGACTCCGACTGGGCCGGCGGAACCGAAGGCCATGGATCAACCATGCATCAAGTATTGTAGCTTCAGACTTTGGTGTTAAATGCTGACTAGATTTGTCTAAGGCTCGGATATCCGGATTGCCAAAGAATATTCCTTGGATGTGCGGAAGATCAACCATGCCAAGGCCCGCGGCCGGGAGAGCGGAGAGAAAGAGCGCTCGCTTGGATGTGTGTGATTAGAATAGTTGGGAGAGTCTTGGGATGTCAATGGCTTTGCAGTCGAAGAACCGATGATAGACTTCACGCCACCGTGCACAGGTCACCGCACATCACCACACGCCTGCAGTTTTCATTAACTTTGCCGCTAGTGAGGTACAACCTGCGAAACCGGAGTGGCAATAGGGAAAGCGGTGTTTTTGATGCCGTGCCAAGGAGGTGGCCAGTGAGGTCTTCCCCCTCGAGCGAGCTGTTACACCCTTTTCGGAATACAAGTTGCGACTGGGAATTGCCCCGGCCTTGGAGGGTGCAAGCCAGCGTGACCTCTCTCTGATAGTATTGCCCCTGCACCATGTTTAGGCTATCATGATCGAGCCCGGCATTGAACCAAAGACCGCTGATGCAGCAACTTGGCCCGGATCTGCAGAGATGGCTCTAGCACTGAGTGCGGCCCTTGCCTCAGGTACGGCAGTGGGTCAACAAGGGTGGAAAGTTGAAAGTTGGCGGTGATGTGCTGGTGGGCCTCAAGCGCTGGGAGACGCTGGTTCCCAAAACCCCAGAGGTCGACAAGCTCCTGCACAACATGCCCGAGGCCAGCTAAAGAACAAGACTTCTCTCAGAAGAAGTGTGCCCTTCCCTCCCTCAGGAGCTCGAAGCCGCGTTGGCTCAGAAGTCAAAGCTCATTGGCCCCGGCGACCTCCCTGCAGACCTGACGCCGGCTCAGCGCCACACGGCCCTGGGCTATCAGGCCAAAGGACTGGAATTTGTCAAGGCGCAGGCGAGGTCTTTGCGTGTATAGAGCCTGCGTGGTGAGACGGTGAGATGCTGCCCAAACTATTGGGCTGGATTGCTTTTGTGAGGCCAAGGGCACCGACTTGACGCCACTGCTAATTGCACCCACAGTGCTGCACAGCGCCCCGAAGAGCCTGAAGCCGGGCTCCAATTTCCAGATCCTGATGGACAAGCTGGACGGCGAGTTGCCGAAGAAGGCGCGGGAAGCGATGTGAAGCGAGGCTGTAACCGCTGTCCGTCGACTTTCCAGGAGGAGATTCAGTTTGTGGGCTTCGGCTTGGCTCCAGGAGTGGCCTCGGGGCCCCAGAGTTTGGCCCGGGAGCTGGTCCTCAGCCCCTCGAACGGCAACGACTGTGAAGCGAACACCTTTCTTCTTCGCAGTGCAAATAAGCCTCGGCACTTTCCGAGGCTTTCTGCACGAAGGCCAAACGGTCCAGGCCGGCCCTCTGGGCCTTTGGGATTTAGAAAAAGCTCTGGTGCCTTGCTGTCTAAGACTCTAAAGAGGTGCAGCTGCCAGATCCGGATGCAGTAGCCAGCGCGGCAGCAGCCGGAAGCGGGCCGCGCAAAGCCACGCCTGGCAACAAGTTTGAGGCACCGCGATGCGCACGTATCGGTTGCCTTTGTACACAGCCGCCGTAGGCAGATCGAAGCAAGTTGCCTGCCGAGGTCCCGACGGTGGTACCCGGAGAGGTGCTTTCCTACGCTGTCAAGGCTCGATTGTCCTTGCAGATCCTGCATGTCCCCTTCCCGAATCAATTTCAGTAGTGACTCAGTAGTGCTCATGCATTTCTCGAAGGTGGGCGACACCTTGGAAAAGGGGCAGATCCTGTGCGTCCTGGAGTCAATGAAAATGGTGCTGACCTTAGTTAGACGCAGCAGGATAAATAGCAGCGCCACAGGTGCAAATTTCGGTTTTGGCGCCCTCATTGGTCTAATGCGAGCTATCGTTGTCTCTGTTCATGAACAGCTTTTATGGTAGCGACTACACCCGCTCCAGTAGTCTTATTGTGACTTGATTGCTCAAGTTCAGCCGCCGAAGGTCAAGGCTGTTCTGGTGTTCGCCTCTTCAGGAGATGAAGATTCCGGTGCCGGATGAGCTGGTCGGTCTCAAAGTGAAGGACGAAGCCCTCACTAGCAGTATCAGCAGGAGCAGCCGCCGAAACGTCTTTCTTTCTGGAGGACCTGCCGTGCAAGGGGAGGACCAAGGAGAAGCAGGGCGACATCCTGGCGCCAGGCGACCTCATGATCGAGCTCTCGGTCAGCGTCCCAGAGAGGGGTCTAGCCCTACACCATAGTGCTGGCGAAAGAATGCGAAAGAAAGACACAGAGAGAGAAAGAGAGAGAGAGAGAGAGAGAGCGAGAGAGCGCACAGTCACGGAAGCGCATGCTTGCCCAGCCTGAGGAGTGAGAGACGCGAAGGACAGCGAGGAATGGCAGAGAGCCGTACCCGTTTTGAAGCCAACGGTGGTGGAGCCTCCGCATGGCACCATTTAGACTTTAGACCGTGCCACGGGGACCGTAACCTAGATCGGCAAAAGGCGAGGAGAGGCACTTCGGCCTCAGTCTGAAATCAACATCGGAGAAGTGAGAGTCTTGAAATTGGACGCACGGAGATGTGCCGCATTGCGGAAGCTTCGATATTGATTTCGGACTTTGAGGTTAGATGGGTGCAGCAGCTTTTTTCATAGGCATAAAGCCGACACAGCCACCCAAGCGCACCTAGAGGCCTTGAGAGTCGCTATTCATTATTTAAGAGATCGAATTGCGCGACGCAGTCGAGTCTCAAAGAGCTACGTTGCACCCTTGCATGCAAGACAGCACTGTCGCGGGGTTGATTCTGGCATGGTTGTTCGTTCTTGTGCTAAAGCTATTGCTGGGTAGCTACGTGGCCTTCATTTTTGGTTTCATCGAAACAAAAACCTCGCAACTCAGGGCACGCTCTGGCGACCCGCACCCGGACCCGCCGGGACGTTCCCGAGGCAACTCCCTCAGCTGCGTTTTCCGCAACCGACTTCCGAACCGAACATGGACCCCTGGACCCGACCTCCGGACTTAAATCTGGACCCGGACCTCAACATCCGATCTACTTTGCATTTTCTGACATTTCTCAGCAGCGAAAGAATAGGAGGCTCAGGTCAGGGTACTACTTTGCATTGCCCGCATTTCCCAGACGACTGGCAGGACATTGGGACCGCTAACGGCGCCGTCACAGTGTGCGCAGATATGCAGATGTATACACATGCTGAATCTCAACTATGCCGCCTCCTGTCGGCCCGTTTAGGCTCAGGCCCGCTTTGGAGGCTGTTTGTGGCAGAGGGCTGCCGGTACCGCCTCGGCTCAACATTGAGGCAAGACACGCTTTGCATAACGCATGCTTTTCTTGCGAAGCCTCTGCCGCAACACGTTTGCATACGTCTGCCGTGATAACCGAGGACTGGCAAAGGCAGTGCTCACAGGCCGGAACTCTCTAGTTGCTCGTAGTGCAGAGTGCAAACGCGATTGCTTCTGACGCCTCCTTCGCGGTGAAGGAAAGTGAAACGAAATGATATTAATGTTCAAGCCATCCTGAGATCGTGATTTCAGGCCATGCAAACTCGAGGCCGCGAGTGCTGAGTCTTCCCGAGCCCTTACAATACTCGTGCCGCCGTTGAAAGCTTTGAGGTGGTTGTGTGAAGCAAGGCACGATGAATCCGCGAAAGCAGTGATGAATTGCAGGGCCTGTTAAGTTAAGAGGATCGTCTCGGTGATCTGCTCGCCATTTTCGTCGCAGTGCGGAGTAATGCAGAGTTTCTGTCTTCACGCGAATAATGTTCCCTTCGCGACCATCGCACGCAAGCTCTTTCAGCAGGCCTGTACAAGGTGGAGAAACCCGAAGAGAGAGTTGAGTTTGGCAGACTCGTCCTTTCCGCTGCTGTGCACAAGGAGAAACATGCGCAGATCAAGGCTGGCCACTGGCTCTTCAGCATTGCCCCCTAACGCAGATGTGCATCTTTTGACAGGATTGGCACCGCTGCAGCAGTAGCTGTGGCCTTGGTGACTCTCAGGTCCTTGGCATTCCTGGCCATCCCGGCTAATTTGTAATTAGTCAGCACTTTGATTTCAGGCACTCGTGCACCGAGAATGTCATTGCAACAACTTTCGGAAATGGTATTAATCTAGATCTAGTGCTTCTAGTTGCCTGCATGGCACGAATGGCCACCTGAGTGTCGACCCTCCGATATGCTTTGTCCAGAGGTATGCCTCGAAGGGTTCAATAATCGATTTCGGAGGGTCTTCATTTTGCACTGGCAACCACAAAGCGTCGCAATTGCCTCTTGCCCGCAATAGTAGCTCCATGCCAAGCGAGGCTGCACACTTACTGAAGGACTTCTGTCCCATGAAGACGTTGTCTTGGCATTACATCACTGGGGACATCTCTCTCGTGTCGGTTTCCCCCTGCGCTCCACGCTTGTAACCCTGTGATGTGATGGACCTGAAACGTGGCAGGGAACACAGCCATCCCAAACAGCCGGGCCAAGCCGCCCTAGGCTCAGTGCCATGCGCAAGTCGAAAGGAAGCTGAAAGCCGGGAGATGCCGGAAGCGAGGCCGCCACCTGATGACCTCGGGTGGCATCCTGGGAGCTATGGCTCTGGAGGCCCCGTTGCTTTCGTCCTCCCACCTTTCGAACCCCTCCTGAGATTTTAGTTGCGAGAGGCAAGGTAAGAGTATCTGAGAGTTACAGCGATTCGAACAAGCAGAGGCTCGAGCCGAAAAGCTTGCATGGCGTTGAGCGAACGGACCGAGCCTGCATATGATCTGAGGCTACGCAGGACGAAGGGCACGGACCCTTTGTACAGAGACTCTAAGTAAGCCTGCGGAGGTAACAATCGCGCACTTACTACCTCGCATTCTTTCTGTCATGCGGCCCACTAATTACGTTGCAACCTCCCGCAATTCGAGCTTTCATGGGCTTCTGCAGCTTCTGGGTGCAGGCATGGATGCCCAGCCCAGCTGAAGCCTTGGGCTCCCGAGACCGACGCGTAGCGTGAGCCAAGGGAATCAGCCTTAGAGCCGATTGCAGTCTGGCCGAAGTGCAGGTATCCGCCGATCAACAAGCAAGACCCGCGACGATGCGAGTGGAAGACTTCACAGATTGCTCAGGCTCATCTACTCGCATCTTTGATTTTGGCGCGGAGTTGGTCCACAGAGGCGAGTGCGCAGCGCGACAAGCTCTACGACCTCAGAGAGTGCAACCTCGCAGGCCAGAGCCGTTGGAGGGTTTGGATAGGTTGCTGCTCTGGGGGTGGAGATGTGCGCTGTATTTATGCGCTGAGTACATGTGCTGATGACTGGGGAACCGGCTGGGTAAATAGAGTCAGTGTGCCACCCGATAGAACACCCCCAACATCCAACCAGAAAGGAGTAGAAGGGATTGGAGAACCGGCAACGCCATATAGAGGGTCAGGCCAAACATCATGCACACGGAACTAGCCTGGGAAACTTCACATTCACGAGCGTCACCAAATCAAGCCTGGTGCAGCATTATTCTAAATATCAACCATCTCGGCATGCGGAACAACTGGTACTGTTCGCAACACTACCACATGTCTGTCCTGGTTGCCATACCGATGTTGAAAAGAGTATCCGCAATCGCATCAGCAGTGCCAAGCATCCACACCATCAGCAAATTCACCAACACAAATCGCCATTGGCCCGATGATGTACGATGGGACAGTCCGTTGGCAATCTCGCATTGAGAAGAACATGTTGACGATTTGAATGACATAGGGTAAAAGTGGGGCAATGGTCAGTGTCGCGAAGAGAGGAGCCCTGCTGTGCCCAGGCACCAGTGCAGCCGACAACGATGTATCAGGCCCCACAAGCTTCCACATCGCTCAACATGCTACTGGCTTTTTCCCTATGCCTCAGGAGCTTTGATGAACAAGGGAGACTTCTCCAAGGTGAACTTTGAGAACGCGCAGTTGACCAAGGCCGATGCCGGTCATGATGGTTCGCGAGCATGCCTCATACCTCAGGCAGTGGTGCCGAGCATGCATGTTTCTTCAGGCACACGTGCACTGCATGTCACAGGTCGTGGCAGCAGAAGCCAACTTCGAGGGTGCCAATTTCAAAAATTCGGTGGCGGACAGCATCTGCCTATGCTTTGATACTCGGATAGCCAGATGCGATCCTTTCTGCAGAGCCTCTAGGAGGCCGCATCACGAGCTTTGTTCACATCGACAGCAGGACCGCATGGACCTCACGAAAGCCAATTTGAAGAATGCTGCTTGACTTGGACAACTGTGCCTGTGTCACGCTGGCTCATCATCGCTCTTTGGGGACATCTAAACGCAGCTCCAGCAAGGCAATTTTCAAGAATGCAATGCTGACCACGCCTTGCACTGAATTTGCTCCGACAAGCGAGAGTCCTTGGACCGCTGTGTACCACAGGTCCAGCTTTGAGGAAGCAAATGTGGAGGGTGCTGATTTCACAGACGCGACTCTGGCACGTGGCTGGAGTACTCTCTTTCCTCAGTTGAAAAGCTCCGCTGTCACCAGGCCTTCTTGGACAGTCAGAGCGTCAGGGTGCTGTGCACAAATCCGACAATGAAAGGCACCGCCAGCAGACGCAGAAGCACCCAATCAGTTCAAAGGTTCATTGCAGTTTGCCTTTCATTCCGTGGAGGAACAAACCCAGTGACCGGGGCCGACACTTTTCTCAGTGCAGGTCCACGCCTCATTCAGCATATTATAAGCTACTAGAAAATCCAAAGATGCAACCAAGGTTGCGACATCCAGGACGCGGGAGCAATCCCGCTTCGCTGAGCGATCCCAGCTTGTTTCACTTGAATTTCATTAGATCTCTCGGCAATGGATGCCCCCATGCTTCACTTCCGCTCGATGCGATGAAAAGTCAACCCGCCCTTGCTACGCGCGCAGACCCTCCTTCGACTGGTCAAGGCCTCCGTGTAGGTGTACGTTTGAGAGATCAACAGTTTCAGAATCGCAGCCTGTCGGTTTCTGACAAGAGGCAAAGCCATCTGTAGCACATCAACCTTTTTGCGACTGACTCGGCAGATTCGAGAACCAGAAAATCTCTGCTATCACTACTACTTAGCTGTTGTTTCAGCAAGTCAGAAAGCAGCAATGTCGTATGGAAACTACAAATACGACGGCTTCGGGGGAGGACTGCAAGCTTCAGGCTTCAGCTGAAGTCGACATGTCCTGAGCCAGTGGTGGCTGCATGTTTCCCTTCCAGGATACGGAAACTACATGGGAGGTGGGTCCGGCAAGTGTCTGTGAACGCTTGCAGACAGTACATTCGAGCAGACACATCCAGCTATAGCAATCTGAAGGATTTTGTCCCGTGAATGTGGTGCTTGCTCCGTTCGTCTCTCATAGTTTGAGCCCTTCCGTCTCGCAGACAGGGTTGCAGTACTGTATGTTGCAGTAGAGCCTTCCAAAATCCTCTTCCACTTCGGTACGTGCATGGCACACCCTATCGAGGAGCCGTGGGCACCATGCAGACTGCCTCTCTGCCCACGCAGGAGCAGTGTGTAGAATGCTGGATTCGCAGTTTGAGCATGTACAATTAAGCTTTCCCAGTTTTGGATTCTCAAAGTACTGCAGCAGGCAGTCGGCACAAACAGCGGTGCAGCTTTCCAGCGCACAGCCTTCTCTGGCAATGTCGTGGTCTCGGATGGCACATGGGACTTGGCTCTTGCAACTGGAAAGCCCCTGCCATGTCAGACTGCGGCGATGGCCACGCAAAACGTCGCCGATGTGGGGCAGCCAGAGCCATAGATTCCCAGAGCTGTCGCAAATCACAGGTGCTCAGAGGACAGACTCGAATTCCTTGGTTGGCAGATAGGAGTTCGCAGAATTTCGATCAGAGTGTGCTCTTAGCTCTTGGAGCACCTTTGCACACCCTTAATGGGTTGTCGCTTGAGGTTCAAAACAATGACTCCAGACGCGCCGTCCTCAGGTTCCAGAGTCCTGCCACATGCAGAGGTGGTGCAGCCTCTGGCCTCTGACTCCAACTAGCCGATTTGGGTTTAGGGTTCCCTGATCGTTCTCGTTGGCTACAGGTCGTTGGCCAGAATGGTAACTGCCATGCATGCATGGAAGTCTTGGCCAGGTCCGCAGCGAAAGTAACCCACATCTTTTCAATGGCTTCTTGCCGTAGCTGAACTAGAGAAATCGTAATTGCTGCTTGCTGTCTCCACATTGGAGCGCCCGGACCGCGCGTTGTTTTGTAATTTCTTTCCATTTCTTTCTCCGATTGCTCCGAAGATGCCCCGCCTGCGACAGCCTGCTTGCAAGGCCCTGAAGACACAGCCAGCCGGGGCCTTCACGAACTATGCCGAAAGCTGAGTTGGCCTGAAAGTACTCATGGGCCTCTGTTGGCAAGTTTCAGCAACATGCCTGCAAGCTGTTCCTGAGGATGCCATGGCCACTCGTCCTCCACAAAGCAGCTTGGAGAAGAAAGCCTTTCGAGTTTTAATTGGATGCCTCGAATTCCACGAATTCGTCCGAGCCAAGTTACGTTGCACCACAACCGTTTTCGGGTTGCTATGGATACAACGGGTTCAGTGTCGGCGACATCCCAAGCGCAATTTCAGCAGTACTGGGTGTGGGCGAACAAATTGAAACCGAGGCCACAGACATTTCAACGATTGGCTATCTGCCAGATAGGAAAGTGAGCTTGAAACAGCAGGGCATCACCATGGGTCAAAGTGCGAAAAGACAGGCCGCTGCCATATTGCGGCCAGGGCCATCTCAATCTCGGGTGACTGTTGAATCTAACCTGCACTCCGATATACTTGTCAGAGGCGTGAGCTTTGTGTACGATTGAAACGAGGCTACGGTGGCTGTGGCACGCAGAACTTCTCTGGGTATGGAGGCTACAGTCAAGGCTATGCCGGCCAGGGATATGGAGCAGGCGGGAAGCGGACGGATGCGCAGCATTGATGAAGTCTTGTGGTGCTGAGCCTGAGGTGCACAGGCGACAGGTGCTGCAGGGTTTTGAGCTGAGCGTTGAGAGCATCTTGATGTTGCGCCTAGGGTGAAGTTGACGCATGTCTCCCCGTCAGGTCATATGGCCAGGGATGTGGTCAAGCATACCAAGGTTATGGAGGCTATGCAGGTGCTGGATATGGTGCACCAGACCAAACCTATGGCAACGCCTATGGCCCCGGCTATGGTGGGACCGGGTATGGTGGTGGACAAGGTGGTCAGGGTGGTTGTGGCTACGGCTACGGTCCGTCGGGATATGGGCAAGGTGCCTTTGCATGCTGTCGCATGACTTCGTTTGGAAGAGATGATGCCGACGAAAGTTTCGAACTTGCAGGCGCAGGTTATGGCTACGATGCTCGTGGTTATAACGGAGCCTCGTCGGCACCACGAGGCATCTGAGCACACAGAAGCTGCAATGCTCAAGTTGAGATCAGGCTTGCAAGACGCGGCTGCCACACAACAGTTGTCCGCGCAACAAGTTTACAACAAGGACGTCCAGCTCCTAGCCATCGGCCCTGTTGCAGTGACAGTGCATGAGGTTGTTGAGTGCACACGCGGGGAGGGCTAGAACAAGCGCTGCAGAAAGAGTCCCACGTGGCTTCGCCGAGCAAAAAGAATATGCTAGCCGCTCCAACAAGTCTGACAATTCACTGATGGCGGGGAGCGCTTTTTCGCATGAGGTGTCAGGATCCTTTGTACGTGGTGGTGGCATGTACGGCGCGGCACTCGATTGCGAGCGTCGAAGTTGCAAGACGGTCAAGTTTCCTGGGGCAGGTGGCGCACCCGGCTACAATGCATACGCTGGATATCCTGCAGGCAGTCACCTGCATCTGATCGAGGGACATGCACTAGAACTGCTTTGTATAGGAGCTGGAGGGGGACAGGTGGCAATGGGTTCTAACCTCAGTCAAGATTCGCAGCAATGCAGAGGTCCCACGGACTGCTGTCAAGGCAGGAAGCCACGTGCACGGCGCAGTGTGTGCTGCTGAGCAGCGGTCAGCCAAAGAGTCTTCAGCGCAACCTGCCCCTTGGCCACGGGCTAGGTTGCCCACAAGTTCACAAGCCACCGCCCGAGCTCGATCGATCGGTTTTCGAGAAGACCACAACACTGCCTTGGAATGATCCTTCGTGATTTTGCAGATGTCACACCTATGCAGTTGTGAACGAGGGCCTGCTTGATTTGGTTTCAGTATAAATTTCGTAGGATAAGCAAGAAGACAATCTTGTGATGTCGTACTATGGAGCAGGTCTGGTACACCTTACACTGGTTGTTCTTGCTGGCATGAGCTCGTCTACTAAATTTGTTCCGACCTAGTCTTGCTCCGAACTCTCAGCATTCGGATAACATCGGCGAATCGGGTTTACGAGGGATTTGGGTTTAGACTTTAATTCTCCGACGGGCTTATCGGATTTAGGCCCTGGGTATTGGCACATCTCCGATCTTATACTTTAACAATACTGTTAGAATTTTTTCTCAGTACTCCCGGAATTGGCAGGCATTAATATACGTTGAGGGATCTCGGAGACCGAATCTGGGCGTATTTATCTTTCTATGGGCTTCGTTGATATTTGCGGAGTAAGGGGTATTCGAAACAGACAGAATTATATATCTAAGAATTCGTATTTTAACTTAATGGAAATTGTTGAATTATTTCTTTCGAAATTATTTTATAAACATTAAAAATATATTTTGGTCTGATATGGAATTTATCATAATTTCGAAATTAGATATACGAATTTTATTTATGAAAAAATAATGATTTTATTTCTTTGAATTATTATTTTAATATCTTATTTTATTGACTTTTATTATTTCTTAATTATATTTAAAATATATATTTGATATTTTTTTCTTGATATAATTTACTAGAAAAAAAATATATTAATAAAATAGTTCTAGGCTAATTAATTTATAATAATTTGAAATATAAAGAATAATTTATTGAATAGTATTAATTACTATATTTATTAAAATATTTCGGATATAACGATATATTTTTTATTATATATTTGTATTATATTGAATTATTTGTAGTTGGGTTTTCTATAAAAAAAAAAATTTAGATTTATGAATTGAAATTTTGCCGATAATAATAGAAGAATAAGATAATCTTAATACGACTTTAATGATTTATATTCTGGGGTTTTTGGGATGGTTATAAATAAGATTTGGAGAAATATAACTTAAGAGCAGTAATATTAATTAGATTTTGAAAAATATCGTTGTATTTGTAAGGACTCGTATAGGGCCTATAGAATATACAATTAGCCATTATTAAGCTTAGACAAGAATATTCCGAAACCACAAACCTTCCGAAGTACAATTGGAAGCCGATAAATCGTATTCGTGGTTCGTAATACTATGCCACTGCTTACACGTAAAACCAGAATTCTTCCGAATCTGAATAAGACCGAAATAAGACAAACAATTCGCTACCAAACTCCAAAATTTTTTTAAATTACATCTTCTTAATTTTTCGTGTTTTGTGTGGCTTCGCAGAACAGCAAATATATATGGTCAGGCGCTCCGCGGGTCTTCTCTTCTTCCCGCCGGTCCCTCCTCCCCCCCTATGAGATAGTTGTGGGATTTTGAGATTTAGGCTTTAGCGTTAAGCTTTTGAATTTGGGGTTTATTGTTTTAGGTTAAGAACAAAAAGGCTAGATCGATAAGAGTTTAGGAAGGAATTGAGGTATAAGATAATTAATTTATCAATTTATTCTTTGTTTCAAACTTAGAGCCTGCATTTTAGTGGGAGTTAAGTGTGGGCGATATAGATTCAGCTTAATAGAAATAACAATATATCCCGTGAAATGGATTTACATTTAGATCCCGATCCTCTCTGTTCCTTTTAGCCGCTCACAACAATATCCCATCCAACTAAATAGGCCATTTTCCACAAACGCCAACCTTTCTCCCCAACCCTTACCACATCATACCTTTGGGCGAAACGGGGGGGGCGGACCAAGTTAATAAAAAAATATATATCAAAAATAAATCTATCTATTTATAAATATATTCAGATATATAGAAATTAATTTATTCCTTATTAAGGTTTTGTTTATTTAATAATCCTAGAAATTACGAATATAATTATCAAATATCTAGAAATATTATTATCAAATATTAAAGAAATAAATATAAAATCCAATATATACAGAATCAATATTTAAGCAAAATAACGCCTTTTTTTAATTATATCAAATTCTAAAAATAATTCCCAATAGCACATACTGTTGGGTTTCAGTCTC